AATGAGGTATTCGAAGTAGTTTAAGCTGTAACGAATTCTCAATTCCCTCTGCTATCCAGTATCTAGATATAGAAACACATATTCATGCAGAAACTGAAAAAAATAAGACTGTTCAAAGACGTGGGTATTTCGAAAAGGTCTGACTACGGAGGGTCCTGTAAGATTGGAGCTGAGGAGCCGAAACAGGTGTGCTAACTATTTATAGGTTTATGAACAGGTTTTAAATGTATACATTCCCCTATATATTTTAACATAGTCATGTTAAGTCTTGTGTCGGGTATGTTCATCACAAGAATTATACAAATAAACGTTATAATTTAAAATATACGTTAGAAGAGGAAGTAGATCGATATGGTTGGAACACATTATCCGATTGTAACCCACGAGCGCAAGGTCCATAACCAAGGTTACGGCGTTTAACCTGTGTTTACGTGGGTAGTACATGTACTAAGTTGTCCGAAGGAAGGTGTTCGACGTAACAATTAGCTCAATAATATAACCATGCTACTAGTTAACCTTAAATATGCGATACATGCCTGAGAGACCCAAATGACGATTTGGTGGTATTATTTGGGAGGTGTCCCTACCACTAACCTCTCCACCGCCAATGCAAGTTTCACAGGTTTCAGCCCCCGCTTCCACCCCTACAACACTAAAATCCAAACTTGGAGCGGCCCCACTGATAGAATATGTCAATGTTGTCGACATGACACATAACACATTTCTTTACTCCGAAGTAAGACAATTTTATGTTTCGTTTTCAGTTTTAACTAGTGTCAACGTAAAGAGATAGAACTCAGCTGTGCCTGTTGTGATTTAAATGCGACCAACGAGTAAACTCAAGAATTATATTTTCTGTTCTTATGAATTCCCTGCAATATTTATGATAATATCATGAACAATTATTATACATACATGTACTATTGTTAGACACGACAGCACATACAGACGAGGCCATAATAGTGTCGACCGTGTGTAAGGGCACGATTTCTCACCCCGAAACGATTTCTCGTGCAAAACATGGGTAAAGGTGACACGTTTCCTCATACGGCACAATTTCTCACCCCAGCTCTCTATCTCAATTTAGGATGGATTTCATCCTTGATGGTTTAAAACTTGACTAAGTGTTCTTGTAATACTAACAGATCAATGAACAACATGCCTGATAGCTATTCATTGATTTATCTATCAATCTATTTATTTATTTACTTTTGAAATACGCAAAAGAAGTTCTCAAAAATCTTCACAGATTCAATTAGACGATGAAAAACAAATAATGTTGCCCGATTCATACAATGCGCGTGCGTGCACATTCTTTAACACATTCAAACGCAATCCAGTTCACCTAAATTGTGATAGAATTAACACATACAGTATTTATCTAGTTACTTATTATTCATTTACTTTTGAGTCAGAAGAACTGATTTTGTTGGTATTCCAATGAATATATTCTAAATATAGAGACGTTTTCAAAAGACAATTTGCGCGAGATATACGTATATAAAATAATATGTAAGTCAAATCTAACAAAGGACACCTTTCTTTGGCCAAAGGAACACCAGACACGAACGTTTTACACAACATTGAACTTACTTAAGCAGATGTAAAATCATTGCTCTGGAAGGGTACATACATTTCTTTTTTTATTATAAAGTATAACGATGTTTAGTTGTAACAGGGACCGTTACATTAGGTGCCGAAACAGCCCAGTAGTCGCAAGTGATGCAGTAGAAAATGATCGCAATGCCATCATCTACCGATCGAGTAACCGGTTCATCGGTCAATTTAGTAATCAAATAATAAACAGCAACAAACACATATCATGTTTAGAAAATGTTCTACCTAAATCGTATTTACACTACAAACATGCATGTATATATTAATTAGCATACAAATGTCGGAATACAATAAGACGAGATTCAATTACAGTTACATGTACTCGAAATCATGTGCGGTAATTTATATTGTTCTTTCGAACAAAGTTTGTTTGACAAACGTTTTAAGACATGCTTGCTCATTCCAAGTGTGTACTCTTCACATTATATAACATCTCGCATTTAAACGCGCGTTCTATCTCTAAAAGTTGACATTCCACAACTTTGTATTCTGGCTTCCTTTTAAAATCTGTTCAGGTTTGTTATCTCTTTGTCAGTATTTACAATAGAGTACAAAATTAACACTAACATGTAATCCCTGACCATGGTTTTTATTATAAAACTATCCGACTTTGGCCGCAGGTCTAAGCCAGGGAAACATGGGGCTCCCAAAAGGGGTAAGTAAATGTTCGAATAATCGGTTACTGATTTTGGTAACCGGTACGTGGTGTTCCGACCAAGTAACCGGTTAACCGGCTAACCATTGACAACCCCGCATAATACATCTGCACACCACATCTGTAACATCGGTCATTATCTAAATGTCGACCTAGCAGGACCCAACATTTTGTCAACTAAAAAAACCCAACGCAGATCGCAGTAGTGTTTGTAGTGACATTGCACACTTTTACATAGGGATATTGGACAATGCATACATTTCGACTAATCAGAAGCCAGTCTGCAGCAGCCAGTTTGCGGAAGATGTGGACTTTTTTCCTCATCTTCAAGAATACCATTAAAATAGTCAATTAAACAACCTTCATTGCAGTCCATAAATCTCAGAACAGAAATCAGATGAGAAATCTTGCAGGGGGTGAGAAATCGTAGTGCGAACGCAGCAATTTAAGCACGATTTCTCACCTGGGTGACACCCCTGCAAGTGGGGGATCGTGAAAAGAATACACCTGCTGTTACTCACTGCATGTATCGTAAGAGGCGACTAATCTGGGGAACCCCCTGCAGAATTGAGGATTTGCTTTGGTGTCCTCTTTTTGGGACACAAAAGCGACCAAAATAGATCTGCTGCACCCATTGCAATATATGTGATCTTTGTCTTTCTTTCTACTTCTAACTACCTTTCATTTCCTAGCGCCTTGCTTGGCACTATCTCACTTTTGACTTTAATGTTGAGCGTTCGCCCAGGTGAGGAAGGCACTGGGTCCTGTCCTTAGGCCGGGGCATACCAAAGTCCTTACAAATGGTAGTTGTTATTCCCTTCTTAACGATGTCTCCTACATACACACACGCAGGCACGCATACACTGTACATTACACACATGGAGGCACGTCCTTTAACGACCTTAGATGTTAATAGGACGTTATTCAAAATTAAACCAAACCACCAGGGTGAGAAATCGTGCCGTAACAACGTGTCGATACGATGAGCTGCACCTTATACATGTACCTCTTTGTCTAACGCAACTATTTATAACATCATTGTACTCGGAAGTCAGACAGTTTGAAGTTTTGTTTTCTGAAAACATGACGTACACGGTTGTGCATCGACGTATATAACATTGTATGTATTTGGGTGCCATACCTTTACATTTCTTCGTGTAAAAGGATCCTATTGCGACGAAGCAGGTATTTATGTTTAATATTTTCCGTTTGACAGACTTTTGTATGTGTCTAACTCGCCGTATCACCATGATATGTCCGGTATTATACTTTATATATATCTGAAGGTGAGATAATGATCTACCTGTCGGAATATTATTGTAAAGGGCCCGCGACAATCTGATAGTGTATTGTAAAACATCAGATTTGTACTCGCAGTGTTTTATATTAGCCCTCCCTCGTGTGGATGTGAAAGTGGTAATACTATTATCGTTAGTCAAAATAAATTTACAAGATTGATATGCATATTCTTATCGTGGAAGCATTTATCCTAATTATTTTTAACCGGATGTTGCTTATCATTGGGCATTGCTTAACTTTACATACGATGAAGGCATTGACAACTATGAAGATTATTTGCGAGGGTATAGACTGCATGGCTACCAAATGTAATGGGGAGGGCATATACTTCTATGTTACCAAGTGTAATAGTGAGGGCAAAGACTACATGGTTACCAAGTCAAATGGCGAGAACATAGATTGCTTGGTTACCAAGTGTTATGGGTATGACATAGACTGCTAGTTTACAGATTTAAATAGCGAGGACATATACTGCTAGGTTACAATGGGTAATGGCGAGGACATATTCTTCTGGGTTACAAAATTAAATGACGAAGGCATAGACTGCTTGGTAACAAAGTGTCATGGCGAGGACATAGACTACTTGATTTCCAAGTTAAGTGGCGAGGGCATAGACTGCTTGGTTACCAAGTAAAATAGTTAGGGCATAGACTGCTAGGTTACAAAATTCAATGGCAAGGGCATATACTGTTTGGTTACCAACAGTTATGGTGTAGGGATGAACTTCTTGGTTAAAAAGTTAAACTGCGAGGGCATACACTGCTAGGTTATCAAGTGTAATGGCGAGGGCAAATACTGCTATGCTACCAAGTGTAATGGCTATGACATAGACCGCTAGGTGACAATTTAAATGACGATGACATAGACTGCTAGGTTACAACTTAATGGGCGAGGGCATTTACTGCTAGGTTACCAAATGTAATGGCGAGGTCATTGACAGCGTGGTTACAAAGATAATGGTGCGGGCATGAACTGCTAGGTTACAAATTTTAATGGCGGGGACATACACTGATAGGTTACACAGTTTAACGATGACGGCATTGACTGCGTGGTTACAAAGTTCAAACGCGAAAGTATTTACTGCGTGGTTACAAAGATGAACAATGAGGGCGTCGACTGCAAGGTTACAAAGTTAATGGTGAGGACGTAGTTGGTTTTATTACGAGTGCATTGGATACATTGTTACACAGAATATTGGTGAAGGCGTTGACGACTTAGTTATAAAATGAAATGTCATTTTAAGTCTTAATCATAGTCAACGCAAACTTGTCTCACGTTATAATAGATATTGTCACTTGACCGCTGAAGGGAGACAACATACAGTTTCATTTACAATCTTCAATTCTCTAAAAACATGACATACATTGTTGTCACAGCGACGGATAAGCATTATATGTATCCGGGTGTCATACGTTTAATTTTCCTCAAATGAAAGGTTCCTATTGCGACGAAGCAGGTATTTATGTTTAATATTTTCCGTTTGACAGACTTTTGTATGATTTAAACTCGCTGTAACACCATGCTATGTCCGGTATTATACTGTATATATATCGGGAGGTTAGACATTGATCTACCTGTCGTAATATTGTACTGGGCCCGCGACAATCTGACAGTGTATTGTGGAACTTCATCTTTGTACTCGCAGTGTTTTATATTAGTCCTCCCTCGTGTGGGTGTGAAAGTGGTCGCGGGTTGCTTTGCTATTTTCCCAAATCTATGACCCACTAGTGCGCGCGTCGAACCGTGCACTGTTATGACGCGTCTTCAGGTATTTGTATACAGGTAGCTCTATCAGAATCCCGTGTCTAAGAATAGATTATTTTAAACGGACGAATTTAAGGTCATGGCTATTAATACATGCGTTTCACGATAAAGACTCAACACAATGCTTATCGTAAACACAAGATCGTACTATCATTACCAACAAGTTTGAAAGGATTTAATTGTCATTACTACTGCCAAAGTCAGGCCGCTACCCGCTTTCTTAAAAATTACATATCTTTATTTTGTTCTTCCTGCATCTTAGAATAGTGAAATTACATATACTTTTCGAAAAGCAGATCTTACACGTGTATTGCGCTCCTTACTTTGTGCTGCAGTCTTCCTGCATTTAGAACAAATGAGCCTGTCCTCGACGATGAATTGTCCCGCATGTTTGGTTATATCTTTGCGATAATAACAGGTTTTGTTTTGCTTTGCCTTTTTTATTCTGACGCAACAATCCTATATATTTTGTATTTCGGCATCATTTGTTTGAATTTAAATAATGGGTTGAAATACTAGTGCCAGTTGGAGGGTAAAACAATATCATTTAAATGATGTCTTACATGTACCTACAAAGCGTAGCTGTACTGTACACGCGTACATGGATTTGTTGACATGATTCCATAGAAGATAAACCAATATGCATTCTATTTTGATATCAATAAGATGTTCTATTGATTTGAAAAAAACATTTATCCCTTAATTAAGGAAAATGATCACATGCCTAAATATTAAAAAAAAGTATCTGTGCGTGGTTTCCAACCTACGCCGTTCACTTCGTCTGGTCCTAAGCTAACTGCGTTACACATTAGGCTACATAGGACATATACAATATAGACGAACATGGAAAAATAAACGGTTTAAACCCAAGAAACATCTGTCATAGTTTTTGAGAAAATTGATCAACCCTATTTTTCATTATTTTGAGCACTTTCCCAAAGGAGGACCACTTTTCCGTCATACGATTTGTTTTCGAATATCACACCACGGAATCAAAAAGTTTATTCAAAAGTTGATTAACAGATTAATTGCGGGGGTATAGACTGTATGTTTACCAAGTGTAATGGTGAGGGCATATACTGCTAGGCTACAAAGTTAAATGGCAAGGGCATAGACTGCTTGGTTACCAAGTGTAATGGTGCCGGCATAGACTTCTTGGTTAAAAAGTTAAATTAGAGAGGGCATACACTGCTAGGTAACAATGGGTAATGGCGAGGGCAGACACTGCTAGGTTACACATTTTAATTGTAAGGGCAAATACTGCTAGGTTACCAAGTGTCATTGCGAGGACAAAGACTACTTGGTTACCAAGTTAAATGACGAGGGCATAGACTGCTTGGTTACCAAGTGTAATGGCGAGAGCAAAGACTGCTTGCTTGGCTTCCAAGAGTAATGGCTATGACATATACTGCTAGGTTACAAATTTAAATGACGATGACATAGACTGATAGGTGACAAAGTCAAATGGTGAGGGCATTGACTACGTAGTTACAAAGTTAAACTATGAGGGCATTGACTGGTATGTTACAAAGGTAATGGCGAGGTCATAAACTTTTAGGCTACATGGGTTAATGGTTAGGGCATAGACTACTTGGTTACAAAGGTTAACCTATGAGGGCATTGACTGTAAAAAAGTTTTTTGTAAAAAAAAGTGATTTGTGACTGCTATGTTACAAAATTAAATGATGAGGGTATTGCTTGCTAGGTTACCAAGTGTTTTGATGAGGGCATAGACTGCTTGGTTACAAAGTTTAATGGCGAGGCATTAACTATGTGGTTACAACGTTGAATAGTGAGGGCATTGACTATATGGTTATAAAAGTTAAATGATGAGTGCATTGACTATATGGTTACAAAAGTTATATGGTTAAGGAATTGAGAACGTGGTTACAAAAGTTAAATGGTGAGATCATTGACTACCTGGTTAAAAAAAGTTAAATGGTAAGGGCATTTGCTGAATGGTTACAAATATGAAATGGTGAGGGCACTGACTATATGGTTATAAAAGTCAAATGGTTATGGCATTGAATACCTGGTTTCAAAAGTTAAATGTTGTGGGCATTGACTATATGGTTACCATAGTTAAATGATGACGGCATTGACTACATGGTTATAAAAGTGATATGGTGAAGGTATTTACTACATGGTTAAAAAATGAAATGTTAAGGGGATTGCCTACTTGGTAATAAAAGTTAGATGATGAGGTAATTGACTGTTAGGTTACTAAGGTTAATGGGGAGGGCATAGACTTCTAGGTTACAAACTTAAATGCCGTGGGCATTTACTACTAGATTACAACATTAAATGGCGAGGTCATTGACAGCGTGGTTACAAAGGAGGGGCCGTGGTGGCCAAGTGGTTAAGGCGTCTGACATTCTGCTACCACTAGCCCTCCACCACTGGGTCGCGGGGTCGAGGCCTACGTGGGGCAGTCGCCAGGTACTGGCCGTGGGTCGGTGTTTTTTCTCCGGGAACTCCGGCTTTCCTCCACCACCAAAACCTAGCACGTCCTTAAATGACCATAGCTGTTAATAGGACGTAAAACAAAAACAAACAAACAAACAAACAAAGGTTACAAAGGTAATGGTGCGGGCATTGACTGCTAGGTTACAAAATTTAATGGCGGGGACATTGATTGATAGGTAACAAATTTAATGGCGGGGACATAGACTGCTAGGTGACAAAGTTGAATGATGAAGGCATTGACTACGTAGTTACAAAGATAAACTATGAGGGCATTCACTGTTATGTTACAAAGGTAATGGCGAGGTCATTGACTGTTAGGTTACTAAGGTTAATGGTGAGGGCATAGACTGCTTGGATACAAAGGTTAATGGCCAGGGCATAGAATTCTGGATTACAATGTTAAATGGCGAGAATATAGACTACTTGTTTTCAAAGTTTCATGGCGAAAGCATTGATTGCCTAGTTACAAAGTCAAACGATTAGGGCCTAGACTACGAGGTTATAACGTTCAATAGCGATGGCATTGACTTCTAGATTACGAAGTTCAAACGCGAAGGCATAGACTGCGTGGTTACAAAGTTAAATGATGAGAGTATTGACAGCGTGGTTACAAATGTCCATTGCGAGGGCAATTACTACGTTGTTACAAAGTTTTATGGCGAGATTATTGGATACGTTCTTACAAAGAGAACTGTGAGGGCATTGGCTACATGGTTACAAAGTTAAATAATGAGGGTGTTGACTGCTATGTTACAAAATTAAATGATGAGGTTATTGCTTGCTAGGTTACCAAGTGTAATGGTGGGGGCATATACGGCTAGGTTACCAAGTGTTATGATGAGGGCATAGACTGCTTGGTTACAAAGTTTAATGGCGAGGCATTAACTATGTGGTTACAACGTTGGATAGTGAGGGCATTGACTATATGGTTACAAAAGTAAAATGATGAGGGCATTGACTATATGTTTACAAAAGGTTTATGGTGAAGGAATTGACTACCTGGTTAAAAAGTTAAATGGTAAGGGCATTTGCTGAATGGTTACAAATACAAAATGGTGAGGGCATTGACTATATGGTTATAACAGTCAAATGGTTATGGTATTGAATACCTGGTTTCAAAAGTTAAATGTTGTGGGCAATGACTATATGGTTACAATAGTTAAATGATGAGGGCATTGACTAGATGTTTCAAGCGGTATATGGGGAGACATTGACTTCATGGTTACAAAAGTGATATGGTGAAGGCATTTTCTACATGGTAAAAAAATGAAATGTTAAGGGGATTGCCTACATGGAAATAAAAGTTAAATGATGAGGGCATTGACTTTCAAATAACAAAGTTAAATTGTGTAGGCATTGACTACATGGTTACACAGTTACAAACGGAGGGCACTTACTCCATGGTTACAAAAGTTAAATGGTGAGGACAGTTACTATCTTGTTACAAATTTAAATGGTGAGGGCAGCGACTCTATGGTAAAACAGTTAAATGGCGAGGGCAATGACTACCTGGTTACAAAAATCAATGATGAGGGAATTGATTACTTGGTTGCACATTTCAATGGTAAGGACATTTACTACCTTGTTGCAAAGTTAAAACGTGAGGTTATCGACAATATGGTTACAAAGTTTAATAGTGAGGGCATTAATTACTTTGTTACAAAGTTAAAAGGGGAAGGCATTGGCTATATGATTATACAAGTTAAATGGTGAGGGCATTGACTATATTGTAACAATAGTTAAATGGTGAGGGCATTGACTTAATGGTAGCAAAAGTTTAATGGTGCGGGCGTTGACTATATGGTTACAATAGTTAAATGGTGAGAGCATTGCCTACAAGGTTCAAGCGGTAAATGGTGAGGGCATTGACTAAATGGTTACAAAGTTATATGGTGAAGGCATTGACTTCATGGATAAAAAAATAAAATGGTTAGGGCATTGACGACCTGGTTACAAAGTTATATGGTGAGGGCATTGACTACTTTGTTAAAAAGTTAAATCGGGAAGGCATTGACTATATAGTTTTAAAAGTTAAATGGTGAGGACATTGACTACATAGTTACGAAGTTAAATGGAGTGGGCATTGACTATATGGGCACAAACGTTAATAGTGAAGACATTGACTACGTAGTTACAAAAGTCAAACTTTAAATGGTAGGGCATTGACTCTATGGTGAAACAGTTATATGGTGAAAGCATCAACCTTTAGTTTAAAAAGTTAAATGG